GTGTGTGTGTGTGTGTGTGTGTGTGTGTGTGTGTGTGTGTGTGTTATTTGAGGAAATTATGTTTTCTGGTTTTATTTTGCTTAAAAATATAGTTTTCTGAAATAACTAGGATGGCCGAAGATTAATTTAATGTCACCAAGGACACCACTGGCCACCCCCTGGCTCCGCCATTGCACCTTGCAGTGGATAAAATTGCTCTCTCCAGTCTCCAGAATCCATCACTCTGCGCTGCCTCGAACAAGGAAAAAACAACAAAACAACGACCTCTGTTCTTCTTCATAGTTCCCCTGCATTCACTGATTAGTTCTCGTCCAGAAACACTCATCTCCAAAACTACAAATATTCACTACTCCAATCCTTCAGTGATGGGGGGACATCCATAGTCTTCATGTTCTGAAAGCTGCACATCTACGAAGTATAAAGTTCTCACATTTAAGCTATTCTTTTAAAATGTTTCAGGAATTTCAGTCTTGGAGCCAAGGCTGAAACGGCCTCTGGAAAAAACGTGAATAATCTGAGCATGGAAACCAAACAGAATCTGATCAAGCTTCTCGACGGGACCGTGGGCAACGTGTGAGTAAATCTGCTCACCTTCTGCTTCACCGTTCGTCAACGTGCCAGTTCTAAATCCTCATGAAGTCTTCTCTTTCCACCATTATCGTTTGTTCCGAAGTTCATGTATCTGTAGAATTAGCAAACTATCTCTTCTGCCAACACAAAACTGGCGATACCAGTCAATTTATTGAATATCGAGCTAAAGTCTGATGTGGTAGTAGCTGAGAGTCACACATCTCACAATATTGCGTGAAAATATTATTTTAAAGATTCGACTCTTTCTCTTCCTTCTGTAGGACCATAACAGAAATCATCCCTCGATATATTCGAGCCCCCAGTGACTCAGATGCCACTCATGTTGAGCAACTCGGTGATTTTCTTGTTTTTTTTCTTTAAAACACACGGACTGTAAAAACGAAATAAAACAAGTTGTTTGTGTTTCTCTTTATAATTACTTTCATTTAATTGACCGTCTTTCCAGGTGAGAAGATGATTGACATAAACCTGATGTTGATGCGAGCCCAGAATTCTTCAGAACAGGTCCAGGAGTGGTGGATCGTCAACCAGACCAAGCCCGGCCCGTTGGACAACCCGAGCGAGAAACCCGATCGGAAGCTCGATCGGAAAAACGAAGCCGGTCTGCGGATCTACATCTTCAGCGACCAAGTCAGCCCGCCCAGTCTGGGCTTCCTGGCTGGATACGGGTTTGTACCGACTGCTTTAATCTACATCTGGAATGTCTTGGATTAAATCCAGATTACACGGTTTGACTTTTGCATTGTGAGATAAAAGTGCAAACCCAATTCCAAAAACGTTGGGACTTTGTGTAAAAAGTAAATAAAAGCAGAATGCGGTGATTTGCTAAGCTCATAAACCCACATTGGTTTTAGGGAGAAAAATAAGACATTTAGAATTTAATATCAGTAACGCGTTAAAAAGAACAACTGGACAATGGGCTGTGGTAAAAATAGTAAACAGCTGGAGGAGCATTTCGTAGCTAAACGGGCAGGAGTTCACGAGTCTGTGAAAAACTAAAAAGAGTAGAACAAGCTCAAAATAAAGATCCTGTGGGAACTTGGGATGCCTCATCATCTACAGTTCATAAAAGCATCACAAGATTTGAAGAGTCTGGAGAAACCTGAGCTCAACGGACAGGTTGGATGCCCGGGATCTTCTGGCCCTCAGGCCAGGTCTGATTCTGCTCTGGGCATCACTGAGGAACACTTTCACAAATCATTGTCTGTAACCCCCCCTTCCCCCCCAAAAATTGATTAAAGCTCTATCATGCAAAGGAGAAGCCACATGTGAACATCTAGAAACGCTGCTGTCTCCTCCGGACCGAAGCTCATTTAAAACCGAGCCAAGCTGGAAAACGGTTCAAAAGCCTCTCGGATGGTATAGGGGTACATTAGTGCCTATAGCATGAACATCTTAAACCCCTGGAGGGACACCATCAGTGCAGAAAAATATATAAAATATCAACATGTGCTCCCATCCAGACTGCTTCTTGTTCAGGGAAGGATGTGCTGCATCCATTACATCGTGGCTAAAACTGGCTTCGTATAGAAGAGTCCAGGTCCTCTCACCAAAAGGAAACGTTTGGGATGTCATCAATTAAAGACCCAGATCTGTTGATCCACTAGATTCCTACAAGAATAGGACAGGATTCTCCTCCAAAACTCCAGCAGCTGGTCTCTGTTGCTGCCATGAACTTCAAATTTGTCGCAGTTTGTCCCAAACAAAGCTGCTGTTTCTCAGTTTAAACATTTGTTCACTGTGTCTGCTGTAAGTAAAATATGGGTTGATGAGGTTGAAGTGATTGCATTCCGTTTTTGTTTTTTTTTTTATTTACATTTTACACGACGTCCCAACTTCTTCAGGATATGTGCTCTGTCAGAAACTGCATCCTCATGATTTTCCAACAGAACCTCTTCTTTCTTCTCCCCACTCTAGTATCATGGGACTGTACGCCTCTGTGGTTCTGGTGATCGGGAAGTTTGTGCGCGAGTTCTTCAGCGGCATCTCCCACACCATCATGTTCGAGGAGCTGCCCAACGTGGACCGCATCCTCAAGCTCTGCACCGACATCTTCCTGGTCCGAGAGACGGGGGAGCTGGACCTGGAGGAGGACATGTACGCCAAACTCATCTTCCTCTACCGCTCACCAGAGACCATGATCAAGTGGACCCGGGAGAAAACTCAGTGAGACGGTGGTTGTGTGTGTGTGTTGGGGCGGGGGGGACGCTGGCGAATAATCGGAGCATTTCAGAAACACCGTGTGTGTTTCAGCTCGCGGAGCAACCGAGGAGCGACTCCGTCCTCTTCAGCTGAGCTCGGACGCCGTGGTGCAGCGTTGGCTCCACACAGAAACACTAATGAATAAAAACTGGTACTTTGTACTGGTTCAGCAACGGAAACGGCCTCGTTAACGTTGACTGAGCGCAAATCTGCAGCTGCTGTCCTCCGATGGAAACGAACTACTGTAAAACATTTTTGTACCTGCCCGGTGGGTCGTGAGGTGCAGGAAGTGGCTGCAGCGTCACTGTTTAAGGGCTTCCCACTGACATCTCTGCACAACGATGACCACATGAGCACAATCTCAACCCCCCACCCCCCTAAAAAAAAAAAAAAAACCTGGAACCTTTGGATCGAGGGAACGGTGCAACGCCGAGGTTCCTAAGAAAAAGGGAGGCCATTTACGACCAGTAAACCTTTTTTCTAAATGCCCGGGGGCACTAAAATCAAAAAAAGTGGAGAACTGTAGACGATCTTGCCTTATTTTGTTGAGAACTGTTCTGAATTCCTCGTCTTTCTCAGGAAGGGCTGTTTTCAACTGTATACGCGTCACCATAAATGTTGGCTGTGATGGACCCAAAAGAACACGAGATTGTAGAAAAGGTATTTAAATGGCATGAAATGTACGACTGGGGTCGTTCAGGTGGACTCAAGTCTGTTTACTGCATACAGGTGTGTTCTTTGTTTTGTTTTGTTTTCTTTGCAGAGAATATTGCCAATCAGACACATCCACCCAATCACCTGCAGGAGTTTCTGCACCGTCAGTGTGGTCCACTCCTCTTCATCAGACCTTAATGTTTTTAGACGTAAAAAAATTTAACTGAAGCTGTGACTCCCACAGTTTTGCATCCAGAGATAAAAAAGCTCCCTTGTTACGAAGGGCGGCGCTACAACAAGCCCTTTGGTCCAAACTATGCATTAAAGGACATTTTAGCATGAGTGAAAAATAAAGAAATAAACCTTCATTATTGCCACGACTAATTCTCAGCACATAAGGGGTTATACTACCGGGAACAGGTCACGGAGGAATGAAATGTGAACCTGCATATTAAAGACATGTGATATTATAGAGGATAAGACGCGCGCAAATAAAAACTGTCTTGAAAGGTTTTTTTCGGTTTTGGTCCGGCTGTTTGAATCTGGGTTCTGGTGGTTCTGATGGGAAACGGCTGCAGCAGAGCGGACCTCCACCTCCAACCAACACTGCTGCTTTCATCCACACACTCCAAGGTTTTCTGCTTTTATACAAGTTTATCAGGTTGATGCACGTTCAGAGGTTCTGGAAATTCTTCACCACATTTTGTTTCCATTTCTTTGGTTGAATCTAAAAAACAACAGTTTGACAGATTACAAGGATTATTTTCGCTCCAGAAAGGTGATTTATGATGAGGTATTGGCTAAAAACTGAAGATCGATGCATCTCGCGCTCTCGTTTTCTTGCTACTTCTTAAAGATTTGACTTTCAGATTTGGTTTATCTGGTGCAGATTAATTTTCAAGCTTTAAATTTAGTTAATCTGTATTTTTTAAGCTCACTCTGCTCAATACGCTTTCAAGGAATGGACGGAAAATGAGAGGAAAAGCAGCCGAATTACAAAGTTGAAACGGTTGTTTGAGAAAATATGCAGCGAAGATGGTTTTAAAGGCATCGTGCTCTGAAACTTTTGCACGTGGATTTTTCCTGCCTCCGGTGGCTCCAGGTTTGTGTTGATGCGCAGCTGCGTCTCCGAGTCGTTCAGGGCGTCGCAGAAGAATGCTCCTCGCAGGAAAAAACCCTCATCAGAGAGAAATTGGGCATCTGCAGTCGATCCGCGTGTCGGAGCTGATGTCGAACGCTCCGAGATGGAAAAGCTGCCGACACGCTGGAGAACGTCAAGAGGAACAAAACGAAAACGTTGCAGAAACAAAATCTGGAGTAAGAGACGGGAGGAAAAGCTAATTATCTCCAAACTACATGTAAATAATCAAATATTAGTCGATTCAACATTAGTGGTTCCCAACCCTGGTCCCTGAGGAACGCCATCCTGCATGTTTTAGTTGTTCCTCTGCTCCAACACACCTGGTTTGAATGAAGAGATGATTAACAGGCTTCTGCCGAACTCAAGGAAGTAATTAAACCACTGACTCAGGTGTGCTGGAGCAGAGAAACAACTAAAACATGCAGGATGGTGTTCCTCAGGGACCAGGTTTGGGAACCACTTATACTTTACAAAACATTTAGAATAGAAACACATTAAAATCTCTTCAGTTCTTTCAAACACAAACATCTCCATTTAGTTTGTCTAAAGTTTTTTTTCTTCTATTTAAGTTTTTATTTATAATTTAGCTTGTTTTAGCTTTTAGCTCCTGTTAAGCTTTGAGCTAGTTTTGCTAATTATTGCTTTGTTTTCTTATTTCAAATTTTAACTACTGTTTAGTTAATTCTCCCTCATAACAAGTTTGCTATTCTTAGCATTTTTACCATTTAGCTACTGCTTTTCTTTGAACTATCTAAAGTTTTGCCATTTAAACTTTTAGCTACTGTTAAAGTAATTTGAACTTTCCAATTATGTTTTCATCTTAGGCTATGGTTTTACTAGTTTTAACATCCTAAAAGTTAAACAAACGAGACATAAATATTGTACTTGGTCATTTGTTTAGTGAGGAATTCAATATTACATATTTGTGGTAAAAGTATGTGAACCTCTAGGATTATCGGTTAATTTGAAGATGAAATTAGAGCCAGGTGTTTTCAATCAATGGATGATGATCAGGTGAGAGTGGACACCCTGTTTGATTTAAAGAACAGATCTATCAAAGTTTGCTCTTCACATGTTTGTGGAAGTGGATCATGGCAGGAACAAAGGAGATTTCTGAGCAGCTCAGAGTTATTGATGCTCATCAGGCTGGAAAAAGTTCTAAGACCATCTCTACAGAGTTTGGACTCCACCAATCCACAGTCAGATACAGATTGTGTACACATGGAGGGAATTGAAGACCATGGTTACCCTCCCCAGGAGTGGTGGACCAACAAAGATCACTCCAAGAGCAAGGTGTGGAATAATTAGCGAGGTCACAAAGGAGCCCAGGGTAACGTCTAATCAACTGAAGGTCTCTCTCACATTAATGTTCATGAGTCCACCATCAGAAGAACTCTGAACAACAATGGTGTGCGTGGCAGGGTTGCAAGGAGGAAACCATTGCTCTCCAAAAAGAACATAAAACACAAAAAGATCATATGGACAAGCCAGAAGACTGTTGGAAGAACCGTTTTGTGGACAGATGAGACCAAAATAAAACTTTTTGGTTTAAATGAAAAGAATTATGTTTGGAAAGGAAAACTGCATTCCTGCAGAAGAACCTTATCCCATCGGTGAGACATGGTGGTGGTCGTGCCATGGTTTGGGTCTGTTTTGCTGCATCTGGACCAGGACAGCTTGTCATCATTGATGGAACAATGAATTACATCAGAGAATTCTAAAGGAAAATGTCAGAACATCTGTCCATGAACTGAATCAAGAGGTGGGTCATGCAGTGAGACAATGACCCTCAGCACACAAGTGGTTCTACCAAAGAATGATTCAAGAAGAATAAAGTTCATGTTTGGGAAAGGCCAAGTCAAAGTCCTGACCTTGTTCAATCCTGATGCTGTGGAAGGACCTAAAGCAGCAGCAGCTAATGTGTAGAAACCACCAACATCCAGGTACTGAAAGCAAAGGTTCACATACTTTGACCACTCCATAAATATGTAATATTGTATCATTTCCTCAAATAAATGACCAAGTATAATATTTTTGTCTCATTTGTTGAACTGGGTTCTCTTTATCTCCTTTTAGGACTCGTGTGAAAATCTGATGAGGTTTTAGGTCATACTGATGCAGGAATATAGAAAATTATAACGAGTTCACAAACATTCAAGCACCACTGTAAATACGCCAAAGTTCATGCTCGATTCAACCTTTATTTATACAGGTTAATCCCATTGAGCCTCTGGGACTCGAAGAGACATGGATAAAATAATCCAGGTCAAAATCCAGCAATGTTCAGTCTGGACGGTTTCCTTTGTTGCCGAGACGTTTCATCCAAAGTCCTTTGTATGAAGGACGAAACTGACTGAACATTGTTGCACTGCAGCTACGATTCAATTAAACTGCCTTTCGCTGCAGCTTTGGTTTTAACTTTCAGCTACTGATTAGCGATTTATAGCATTTAGCTACCGTTTCTTTTCGCATCTATCGTCTTTCAGCTACGGTTTGGCTCACTTCACCTTCTCTTCTGCAGTTTCACTTATTCTTCAAGTTGCCGCAGTCGTTCAGCGCTCACTAGATTTTCACAGAAAAAGAAAAGTCATGTTCAGGTTCGGGTCGTTTCCAGCTCGTGTTGCCAACAACACCAAATCTGCGGCTCCGTGTTTTGAAGCTTGAAGACGGGTGAAGGCAGTGAACACAACGTTTCTTTAGACCTTTTTATTTGAACATGCGTTTCCATCATGACTGCAGGCGGCTTCAGTAAAATCCTCACCAGCTGTGAATACTGAATAAATTATCTGTACAAGTGAACACAAGACGGAGTCATCAGACACATGTAGGGTGTTCCTGGTTGAATATATCCGTAATAATTACCCACAGACGACACCAGCAGAATGTACGGCTTCACAGAAACAACTAATTATACATGTAGATAAAACGATTACACTTAAAAAAACAATATTGATATTTCCTGCAGCTGGAAGTGTCGGGTTATTTAAGTTGATTTTCTGCACATTAAAGATGAGACGAGCAGCCGTCACAGACGAGGGGGGGGGTACCTATCAGACGGGGGGGGGGGGGGGGCGCACTGACGGGTGGAGGCTAACACAGCCCGCCTTCATACTCATCGTCCTCCTCGTTTGCAGCAGCCGGCGCCCCGCCAGCACCACCCTGTGGAGCCGCAGCTGCCTTCTTCTTCTTTCCTCCGCCCGGTACCTTCAGGGAAATGGCCAGTTTGGCGTACTGGGAGGAATAAAAGACGACGGGACATTCAATAAGAAATTAACTTCAACAACCATTTTAGCTACAGCTACTGTGAATTTAGGTGGTGTTGTGTCACAACACGTCGTCAAACGAGTCAACCACACGTGAAAAGAGTAAAACGAACACCGCAACAATAAACAGTTTTACAATATTCTCTGAATGAAATTAAATCCCTCCAAGAGCTTTTACATCTATAGCTCATTATTTTTATTTTTAAATACTTCACTTCAGAAGCTTCAAATGATCCGTAGTTTACTGAAACTACAAGTTTTGTTTACGAGAGCGCTGGTTTGAAATCGACATTTTCAGGCAAACAGAAAGTTGATTTATTTGTGTGTTCGTATGCTACTTTTAGCTCCATTTAGCTACTTTTAGCTTCCATTTAGCTACTTTTAGCTCCATTTAGCTACTTAGATCCATTTAGCTACTTTTAGATCCATTTAGCTACTTTTAGCTCCATTTAGCTACTTTTAGCTTCCATTTAGCTACTTTTAGCTTCCATTTAGCTACTTTTAGCTTCCATTTAGCTACTTTTAGCTTCCATTTAGCTACTTTTAGCCTTTATCCAGCCTACAGATACTTTTAGCTTCTACATAGCTTTTTGCTACTTCCTAGCCTCCTGATAATTTTAGTTTTTGACAGCTTTTGCTTCTTAGCTTTTAGCTCCCATTCTGCTACTTTTAGCTTGCGTTTTATACCTTTTTAGATTTGAGCTATGGTCTGTCTCTTTCTAGCTTTAACTCAGTTTCAGCTTCTTCAGTGAATTTCAGCAGAGTTGTTCCGCTCCTAGAATTTGTCTCGCTCTATTTTTGGAATTTAGCAAAATGTCAGAAATTGATGTTCAGCAGAGGATTTAACTTTTTTTTTTTTGTTTGTTTTTTAAGAAAGTTGGGTTTTGAGTTGTTGTTGTTTTAATTAGATTTAGAGGATAAATGTGATCCAGCTGACAAAAGGGTCACAATAAAATTTATGTTTTTTTTTTAAATATTGGAGTTAATTTATTCAAATTTTCCATTTCAAAACCTACAAAACAAAAGTTTGTTAAAATTTGGTGATTATCACCTGACAAGCTAGTTTTGTTCACGAGTGCCTCGACTTGAAAACCTAACGTTTATTGGTCTGGACTGATGTTGTCATGGATCCTAGCTTAATTTTTAAAAAGGGGAATCCTCGAGTTTCATAATGACTCTGAACACTATACGAAGGGATTTCCCAGCACATCGTCAGCCGGCAGAGAAAAATTACCACTTTAAAGGAAACCAAAGGATTATTTCTGAAGATCTTTCTATAAAACTTTAAAGGTAGATAAGGTTGTATCCTGATTTATGTCACTCGATGGTTTCACTCATTTTAACACAAATCTAATTTACGTCACATTTCCTTGTAGTTTTCCAGCAGCCGGCGCTCGTTTCGACTCATTCTGCAACACATGCATTGCGTGACACTCACATCGTTGTCCATGTACTTCAGCAGAGGCGAGTTACACACGCGGTACGCCTGGTCCTCGTCCTGCTCGTCGTAGCCCTGCAGCAGCGTCTCCATGGCGACGCAGTCCTCGCTCCCGCTGTACCCGGGCAGGCTTGAAGAGACGGACCCGCAGTTCAAACGGCGGCGGGAGAGACACGGACAGGGAGGTTCTGCTCAGAGTTCTCCTACCTGTAACTTTCTCTGACGCATTTGTCGGCCGCCACGTAGTCCCCTCTGTGGAGGTGAACCAGCACCTGGGCGGTCGTTTTCTGAGGGAGGAGAGCACGGGTCAGTGATGGCTTGTAACTCACCGAGGAGAACGACTCAGTTCAATATGGCCGCCTGCCGATCTTAATCGTTTTAAATTAAATCTGAACGTTTTTAACTCGGGAACGGTCACAACTTTACATTAGTGTAAGGCTGCAGATATCTACAACTTTCTTCTTTGCAGTAATTTTGAGGCCGTCTTTATAACTCATCCGGCTCGCCTAAAGCTTTCTTTGAACTTAAGCTGCTTTCTCAGTCTTGTTGTTTTCATCCAGTCCTTGAATCCGACCATGACAGAAAACCGTGCAGACTGAATTTAAAAAGTGAACGAGGGGAGGACAATAAAAAAGACATGCGTCATCCTTCGGCTGATCGACTCTGTGGCTGCATGCGGCTCGTCCTTTGGAGGTTATTAAACTTTTTGTCTTAGAACGATTCAAAAGTCAGGTGGTTTACAAAAATACAAAGAAGTAATATGGGGGGGGACACAAAATGAAGGAAAAATCAGCCGAAGTCAAAAGAAGAGAATTAAAAACACCCGAGAAAACTGGAAAAACGAGTTAAGACCACTATAAAAGATTACAAGAAAGTATTGAAAAGCTCAGACTCAGAACTTCTGCACAGTACTGAATATTTGTGTTTTCGCCAGCTGTGTAAAAAAACCCAGTGTTTCTTTAAAGGCTCCGGTGAAATCTGCACAGAAACATGAACATCACTGCTGCGCCACGTGAAGAGCGCTTCATCAGGGGCAATTTAAAGGTGGTCCTCGAGTTTATTTCACGTCTTTGATAAGATCAGCTGAGCTGGCGGCACCAAGAGCACATTGGATGGTTTTACTGGGAAATGGCAACAACGGCGCCGTTCGCTTTTATCCGCTCGTTTAGGAAAACGGCAGCACGAACAGTTGCTGAGGTTCTGCTCCACGAGCTGTGCTGCTCAAACCCGTTTGAAGGCCGCTGCTTCACTCCAGGCAGATCGATGCTCGTCGGCTCGTTTCTGTGGCAGACTGACGAGCCGAGGTCGATACACCAGGCAGGACGTCTTCAGCTGGGAGTCAGCCGGCCCTTCAACCCGCTCCGACATTAAATCTAATCGCGGCGCTCACCTTGAAGCACATGGGGAAGTTCTCGATCTCTTTGTACATGTTCTTCTCTTTCTGCAGGGCGACCGCAGCTTCGTCCAGCCTGCTCGCAGAGAGGAGACCGTGTTTTCACACGACGGGTTTTTAAAGTGAATCAGAAGAGGGGAAAAATGCGTCGGGTTCACCTTTTTAACCGGACCAGGAGTCTGGAGGCTTTCCCCAGCAGCTCTACGGCCTGCCGCAGGCGGTCCTCGTTCTGCAGAAGGAAACGCGCGTGAGGCACTCGGGAGTAAAAAAAAAAATCTGAATGTTTCATCTGCGGCTGATTCTCACCTCAAACACGCCCGCTGCCTTCTGGTACAGATCAACAGCTTTCTCCAGGTTCAGCGGTTCTATCAGTCTGACGAGGACAGATGTGTTGAATACATTCAACTTACAGAAAATAAACATCAAAAATAAACAAAGCTACTTTTGGTACAACTTCAGGAAAAATAACATCCGTCATGAAGGATGATGCTTGACGTTAGTTTAATTTGCACAAGAACAATAAACCTAAATTATAAATTTAGTTCAGTAAATGACGCCAGAAAAGCATAAAATACAAGAATTAGTAGGAGCTATTTAATTTCATAAGTAGAAGGAAAAAAAAAAGAAAACCAATAATTAAAAATATATTCAGAACTTTTTAAAATGTTTTTTAAGAGCTGCTTTTGATTCATTTGAGGCACTGATAATAATAATAAATTAAATTCCAACTTTCTCATACGAGGATTGACTGAACAGATCTTCACTTTTGACGAGCTGTTGTTTACTAATTAAATAGTAAATATTTATTCTTATTTAATTTTTTCTCACTAAACAAAACAGTTGAATAAGCATCCTACCGGAGTATTACCGTACTTTCCGCCGTATAAGTCGCATCTATTCTGCGTCACCGCTGACCACCCGGAAACATGGGCCGGTGTTGTGCCAAAAATCTATTGGCTGCCAAATGGTAGCGGGGGAGCGTGCACGGGAGGACTTTAACAAGAATTTAACAAGATTAACACTTAAAAACAATTATTTGTTTGCTCGAAATTATAGTAAAGGTGTGTCTCAGTTTAACTTTTACTTAATAAATTATCTTTAATGGTCAAATCAGCTGCATTTCGTCTGGGCAGCGCGGTGAAATGCAGCTGATTTGACGACAAATGAGGCTTGGTATGGCAAGCCAAATGTCTCATTAATAGCCACTTTTAACTATTAATGAGACACTTGGCTTACCATATCACTCAAGTGCCCTCTAGCTCTTGAAAATGGTAGTGTTCAATATTTTTCATGTCAGAATGAATGAAATTGTCAGATCTCAGCCAAAAATTGGGTTATAAATAAATATCGAGGAAATAAACTTATATTAGTTGCTTCGGTGTAAAAGTTGCAGGACTCGCAAATTTATGCAAAAAGGTGCGTCTTAGACAGAAAAAAATACGGTAACTGTGTTTTTTTATGAACCGAATCTTTAAAATAAGCTAAAAAAAAAAAAATGAATAAAAACTTGCGTAAGAACTAAAACCAAATGTTTCTCAGTGGGTAAAATAAATAAAAATTTTAAAAAAAGGAGAGATTATTTTTGTTTTTTACTTTCCCGCCCGGTCCAGAGCCATCGCAGCGGTGTCGGGGGTCCCGTTCTCCATGTACATCATGCAGGCTTTCTCTATGAACTGGATGGCCTCGGGCATCTTCTTCTGCTCCTGTCGCAGCAGAAACAGAGACGAGTTACAGCTGGACTCATGAAGCCTTCACCGTGCGCTCACAGCAGCTCACCTTCATCATCATTCCTGCCTGTTCGATCGCCCTGAGGAAGAGGAGGAGAGTTAGAGGTCAGCGGTGGGTTTTATGGCCGCTTAAAAATCAGCTTCGTGGAGAAAATACTCACTTTGCAGCGTGGAAAAGCCTGAAGGGCAAAGTTAAGAAAACTAAATGTGGCGCATGGATGGATACAACAAACATTAGCCGACGTGAATCCACAACAACAACCACAGAAAAACTCATCTCAGCTGATCTAGAAGTATAGAAACACGTTACACATGTGCAGGTTGAGGCGACACCAGATGGCCCAGTTATGAATCCAAAACTCTAATTCCTACCATATGATGATGACAAAGATAGGCGGGGCATGTTCGCACATCAGCGTATAAACAAGCCGAGTCATCCTTCAGTATCGCCGCCACGGCTAATCTACCTTAGCCAAAAGAAAAACGGCTGCGACTCGAGTGGTTTTTAAGGACGATGAGCTGAAGTTCGGTACGGCAGTGGCTGAGAGTCATCCCAGTATCGTACTCTGAGCACTCACGGATCACACAAGATCTTCGTTTCAAACTGTGGTAAAAGACGTGCATTCTTTCAAAAACTGCTACTGTCAGTTTTTAGACTTTCAGAGGAATCGACTTCATTAAATTCATTTGATCGATAGTTCCTCTGAAGCGTTTTCTTTCAACTTTTGCTGCTTTACACTTATTTCCACTTCCTATGGGTTAAAGTTCATCCACTTTAGTTTTTTTTGGCCTGACGCCGTCTTCATTTCACCAACACGTGTCTGCCTTTGGTCACCACAAACACTGTACAGAATGCTGTGATGGTTCAGCGTCAGAAAGTCGCTCAGAAAACCTGTAAAACTGATTAGCGATGAGATTTCCATCTCTTTGAAGGGAGACGGATCCTGTGGATCTGTTCAACTCTGAAGTCGTCATGTCACTACTGTATGTTTCGGACTACTCACCGTTTTTGAGAAAATTATAGGATTTTAAGCGTCTTATATTCCAAAAAATACGGTACGTACGGCCTACACTACATATGGATGTGAGTAGTGACATACGGCCGTAACACACGACTTGTGAAACGCGTGACCCTCGCTCTCAGATGTTTGCGACTTGACTCTCGTCGTTCGTTTTAAAGAACCGTTCAAAAGATTCGGCTCGTTCGTGAACGTCACACCTCTGCTACTGATCGATACTGCTTTAAAAGACTACAAAGTAGTCGGGCTCCTTGAAAAGAGCACGCAAATGGGTCAGGGGAGGTTAAAATCCTCTCCACGGTTCTGTGAAGGTCTTTCTCCTGAGGGTGCACTTAAACGTTTGCAGCCAGGATACGTTTTGTTTTCTGTGTGGTACTCTGCCTCCTTCAGGTAAGCATCCTTTGCTTGCTCGTACTGCTTTGCATTCTTGAAGCACACAGCTGCAAACATAAAGACAGAGATCAGTCAGCAGGGAAGCAACATTTCAGTGAGAAACACCAATGATGACCTGAGGTACCTGCTTTGGCGTATTCTGATGCAGCACTGTCAAAATCAGGTTTCCACTTTGTCAGACTTGTCTTTAGGCTATAGTCGTATAATAAACAGGAAGTTACAAACCACAACGATCAAAACACTACAGTAAATAAAGACAGATTGGGTTAACCCATATTTACTCATCATCGTTCTGTGTTAAGATAGTGGCCTTGTAGGAACTAGTCTCCTCCGTAATAAAAAAAAAAAGCGTTTGTCGTTTCTCACCATTTTTCCGCCTTCGCTATGTGTTCGTGCGCTTCGTTTATCTTCTGAGCGGCCATGTCGAGGACAAAGTGTTGTGTTGTGATGGATTTGTTAGCGATAAAGAGCCGTGAGAGGCACTCCGTCGATGTTTGGATTAACAGGAACTCCTCCTCACCAGAAACGTCAGTCGATGTCGCAGCCTACGGGTGCCGCGGAGGACAAACTTCTCGCGATATCGTAGATATAAAAATATATGTATATTAATTTAATTCTAAAGTTAAATTTTATGTTTTTAGAGGTGATGTTAAGTATTTTAATTTTTCATGAAACTGATAATTTTGTGTGTTTTTTTTTTTAGAGATGGGGCACCGGAAACGGAAGTGACGTAATGACGTCCAGCGTCTCTAATGGCTGAACAACAACTATCGGCGATCAACAAACTTTCTCAAACTTCCTTAGACACAAAAGCAAGTTAATATTACCTAATTGTTTTAGGCTTTGTGTCAGTTTAGGTGCTGTTATATGATATTTTTGTATTTACAAATGTGGAGTTGCTGATGGATTCACGATATGACATACCGCGGAGGGCCACCGCCGGTAGCGGCGGGGGTTCTTCGAACTCGTCCCCGGCTCTGGGAGCTCAGTCCCGCCGCAGGAAGATGCCTCCCAGACCCGCTGATTTCAAACTCCAGATTATAATTATCGGCTCCCGTGGAGTTGGTAAAACCAGCCTCATGGAGAGATTCACGGACGATACTTTTTGCGAAGCGTGCAAGTCAACAGTAGGTGAGGACATGAATATAATTGATTTTTTAATGTAAATTCAACGTAAAGGGGTCAGTCTATTTCCTGAATGAAACGGTTTACAGTTCTGTACACCTTAAATCGGATGGACGCGGTCTAATTTCTGTCTCGTAGTTTTCAAAGTATGTGACTTTTTAAAATCTATTTTTTTATTTATCTCTATTTGTCACACGTGAATCAAGCTAACAAACATCTTTACGCATAAATGGTTTGGAGTAATGCTTGGGAAAGTGTTGGTCTAGTTTTAGGGTTTCTTGTTGGGATTCATGATAAATTTTTAAATATTTAAAAATAAACCAACTTCCAAGAGTTGCATGGGTCTCTCTGAGTATAGTAATACTATTTTAATAATGTGAGTAATTGCTTAATTTAGTCCATTTTAGAGCTTTAATTTTTTTTTTTTAAACTGGTTACATGTGACATACTTTTTTTTTTTTTTTTACATTTTTATCAAATGACAAGAATTGTCTTGCAAAGACTTTGGCGTGTTTTGTGTTTGAGCATTTTAAAAATAGGTAACTGTCCTGCTGAAGTTAGTAAACAGTCCTGTGACCAGGACAGCAGCCAAACACAGTGTCCAGTCCTAAAATAGACACACACACACACACACACACACACACAAGCAGCTGCCTTCCTAGAGCTCCATGATGTGCCCTGTCATCCCCGCTACACAGCTGTGTGTCGCTGATATCATCTTCCTTTTATCAGATGTTGCCTCCAGAGTCTCTGGACAACAATTAAAGACAATCTAAAACCCTTTTTTTAAAATACGGTGATCCCTCACCTACTGCAGGGGTTATAGGGTTAGGGTTAAAAATAAAAAACGTGATCTAGTGAAGCCATAGTGAACCGCAGTAAAGTGACGAATCACTGTATTTATAATCAATTATGTTTAAAGTTTGGCATGATAAAGATCCACAAAGTTAAAGCAGCACACAGTGTATGATGGTATTTGTCTGTATTCACATGTCCGTTGTGATTTATTTCACAGGAGTTGACTTCAAAATCAAGACAGTTGAGTTAAGAGGGAAGAAGATCAGACTACAGATATGGTGAGTAACTGGGCAGACGTTCACCTCCTTTATTCCCCTTCGTGGCGTTTTATTGTGGTGGTTCCCAACATTAGGGTTGGGTCTTTAAACATCAAATTCGAGGTCTAGAGTTAATCTCCAAAGATGAAATGTAAATTTCAAAAGATTGCTAGCAAAAAGCAGTCGCAAACCGATGACAGATACTATAACAATTGTTTGAAGATGTCATTGTATCTTTATTTATTTTTTTGTTATATTAGTAATGTTTGTACAACTCAAGTCTCTGCGGCTGTTATGTTCTGTGTCAGAAGTTAAACAGTTTGTGAACCACTGTTTTATTCGTCTGTCCTGTCGTCCTGCGGACTGTGCTAACAAGTGTGACTTTCAGCACGGTGCAAACGGTTCAGAATCATCCTCAAGTTGTCTTTGCAGGCACTGAGTAGACTTTATTCAACCGGTGCATTTACTAAAAGTGTTTCAGGGTTAAACACAAATGAAGTTTCATGTCCTTGGTACTAGCGTTCGATACTAAAAGTGCAAAATTAGTCGCAATCCAATTTGAGCATCTAAAGACGTTTAAATGTGTTTGTATGTATTTGTGTGATTGTGCTTCGCTAAAAGGCCATCGCTTGTGTCACTTACTCATTTGTCCTGCTGGCTAACACCCCATTCTCATCACCTTTTACCACTCCCTCGTGTCGACCACGCTCCTTGATCCCTCCGGTGTAGACGGCTGTCGTCTCGGTGCGCTCTTTTCTCACGTTGGCATGTTCTCATTGAGCTCCACCACAGCTGCGCCCCAGCCTTCCATAACCCCCGCCATTGTGCTGCTGTCTCTGTCTGCTCTTCTGCTCATAAGCCTGACTGTGACTCACTGTGGTGAAGGGGACAGACTAGCTGGCTGAAGGTACAGTGCCGCTCCAACTGCTTGTCGTGTGTCTAGCTCAGGCTCAGATGATCAACTCGGTTACATCATAAATTATGATTGTTTTCAGAACCAGTCTGTACTCAGTAACCTTTGATACTATCTAATGATGCAGTTTGTAGTTTTAATCCAAGCAAAAATCTTCAGATTTTTTTTGTTTGTTTGTTTGCCTTTAAATATCAGATAATTGTTTTTTTTGTGTGATTAAATATCAGATAATTGTGATGTGATTCAGGTGAAACAAGTTATTACATTAGTTGGCCATAATAACATTATGACAACTGACAAGCGAGTTGCAAAACATTTTCGTTACATTGGCGCAGAATCAGCAGGAAAAGAAGTGCTTCAAGGAGCATAAACATGAAATTTGACCTCTTAATTTCACAGATAATCCAATCCAGCATCTACGGGATGAGCTGGACGAACAAATGCAGTCGTTTTAATCCCACAGTAAAGTTTACAGAGCTTCAACTGTTGAAGCTCGCATGACTCGATGGGTCGTAGATTAAGAAAATTACGAGAGTGGTCATAATGTTATGGCTGATCAGTAGATGTGACCGCAAACTAAAAAAATTTTTTTTTTTTCTTGTACCATTTAATGTAGTTATCTAATTAAAATGCATCTTTAGTCGATGAAATCCGCTCAGTTAATCAGTTGTTTGTGATTCGTGGAGGTCTGCGAGTGCCTCCGATGATGTTTTGTTCACTTTGGTTGTTTTATCCAGGGACACAGCTGGTCAGGAGCGGTTTAACAGCATCACATCGGCCTACTACCGAGGAGCCAAGGGAATCGTGCTCGTTTACGACATAACAAAACACGAGACATTTGAAGACCTTCCTAAGTGGATGAAAATGATTGACAAGGTAACGAACACCACGACTTGTACTGTACGAACACTGTACAAACATGTACTTCATGGGTCGTTTTTAAAAGTCCACCGTGACCTTTTCAGTCCATTCTGTAGCTGATTGAACATGTTTTCTTACCGGAGTTGTAACGTGTTAACAGACAATCAAACCGAACAGATTTTACGAGCTGTGGTGGACGTTGAACATTAGATGATTGGATCACTCTTTGGCTCCGAATTCAATCAACGTGCTCCGTGCCGTTTAACGGTTTTGTAATGTTTCTTTGCTCTGCGTTGGATCAAAGTACGCCTCAGAGGAGGCGGAGCTTCTGCTGGTTGGGAACAAGCTGGACTGCGAGGGTGATCGAGCCATCTCCAGACAACAAGGAGAGAGGGTGAGTTCAGTGCACACGCCATCTTCTTTCAGCTGCTCCCTCTTCAGGGCTCGACACAGCGAGTCATCCTCCTCCATCTCACCAACTCCCTCCATGTCCTCTCTAACTGCATCCATACATCTCCTTTTTATCTTTTTCCTGGCAGCTGCATTTCTAACATCCTTCTACCAGTATACCCACTGTCCCTCCTCTGGACATGTCCAAACCATCTCAGTCTCTTTAACTTTATCTCCCAGTTGTTCAACCTGTGCTGTACCTCTGATGATCTCATTCCTAATCTTATCCATCCTTGTCACTCCTAAGGAGAACCTCAACATCTTCATTTCTGCTACTTCCAGTTCTGTCTCCTGTCTTTTTGTCCACGTCTCTGTCTCAAGACCATACAACATAGCTGGTCTCACCACTGTCTTGTGAACCTTTCACTCCTGAAATCTTTAAGTTCAGCATGCAAATAACCCTCAAAAATGCTTTCCTGACACTTTAATGTGCTGATAAATTGTTCTCAGTATGTTTGAGCCTGAACCTCGATGTTCTCAGTATGGACTTTGACGTGCTTCGACATGTTTGACGTGCATCACAACATCCAAAGATGATGCTGACACTTGTAGAAAGACTGAAGTGATTATTTGGAGAAGGATTCAGCTTTTGTTTGGTTCCTTTTTTTTTTGACGGTGAGCATATTGTATTGCTTTTCTTTTACAGTTTGCCTCTCGGATAAGTGGGATGCGCTTCTGTGAGTCCAGTGCCAAGGATAATTTTAACGTGGATGAGATCTTCCTGAAGCTAGTGGATGATATTGTTAGTAAGGTGGGTGGGTTTGTGACTTTTACATGAGAAAATACTTAAATGTTTCTACTGATCTACTTCGCAGATGGAGATTTTTCTACACTATCCGTCTGTAATTTGCTCAAATAAACTAACTTTAGTTAAATATTTCTTCATCTTGTTTCCTTAACAACCAGTACAGGAGGTCAGCTTTAATCAGTAACGTTGTCACTTCCTGTTTTAGGATTAAATCAACAGTTTAATTTGTCTCCCCTTGTGTGGATATTTTTCTCATTAGCTAACAAAACCTGCAAGAGTTTTACGTCTTTGAGAAAATTTGAATATTTTAAAGTTTAAAGTAGTTTAATTTAATGTAATCTTATAAATACAATGCCACCGCTGATGAAATTAAAAACTTTAATTGAACTTAAAAGTTAATTTTTGATTTTTCAATTGAGCTAAAAAATAGCAAACAAAGCAACACACAACGCCAAGTTCTTTACTGCAGTTTTGTTTTTATTTACAAAATGTTAATAAAAAGGTGCACAGAAATGATCAAATGTACCAAAACGTACAAAAAAAATTTTTTTTTTAACTCAAACAGATTAAACATGAAGGTTTTTCCTTCATCTTCTTCTTCTTCTTCTTGTATCTTTCTTGTTTTTGTTTTGTGAGAAAACGTCTTTTCAAAAAAATACTTCCTTTTTCAGTTTTGGCTCGAGGAAATTTAGTTTTGAACCTCAACGCGAAAGGAAAACCATCAAAAAGCTCTTAAACGTTAAATGTTTTATCTGGTGCTTCTTTTTTGTGATATTCTTTGCATTGAACTACTAAGTGTTTCTTTTCCATCAGATGCCTCTGGAGATGCCCAGCAGGGAGCTGTCCAACAGCGTCCTGTCTCTGCAGCCTGAACCGGAAGTGCCGCCGGAGTTGCCCCCTCCCCGCATGCGTTGTTGCTGAAAGTCAGAGCCCCCACCCCCTCCTTCAACATGCAGTGTTTCTGTCTGATCACAAGGGGGCAGCACAGAGCAGCACTTTGGAAACACGAGCTGCTAAAAACGATGCATGGACTCTAAAACAAGCAGTATTATCTTCCTGTTTTCTTCTTCTTCTTCTCTGTAAGTGAACACTACGACCTGCAGCACACTAACACACTTAGGCCTGAAGAATCGTCCGCTTCCACCCACCATTCTGTCTACGACTGACCCAGACTACCTCATTGTTTGGACGGTTATGTTGGCTGTGGTCTTGCACCTTGTTCCCGTCTTCATTTCTTTTGACGTCACTTTGATTTAGGTTGTTCAGATCACCTGAACTGTTGGCTACGTTTCCCTTTTCAAGCTTACAGAAAAAAATGGCTGACAACTCCCTGACTCGGTTAAAACTTCGAGTGAGCAGGTGCAGGACTTTTCTATTTTGATTGATTAAGGATTAGAGAAGCAGTCGTGTAAATATGATGTGCTGCTGCAATGACTGGAGAAGGTGCAGATGTTTGTGGCGACCTGTAGGTGAGCGTGTGGGGAATTTATTATTATTTTTTTTGTAGCTTTTCCCGAAAGTTGTAACGAAGCTGGAATTTAAATTTGTACAAGTTAAAATGTTTTTTGCACTACGACCCATCTTCCCCATTTATACTGACGTGCAGGAAAGTAAATAACTTGTAGTTTAATAACGATTATGGTGGCTGCTTTTTCTAAGTGGAATTTAGATGCAAAGAGAGATGGGTAATGTAGTATTTGAAGGATTTGTGTGTAAGAGGAGACTAAAAAGCCAGCAGACGCACCTAGTTTTATTCCTTCCTTACCGCCATTTCTTTACACTATTTTTATCTTGAAGTCAGGTAAAGCTGAGTTTTATTTAAATTTTTGTGGAAAAGTGCAAGATTGTATTTAAATGTTTGAACGACTCAGGAAACCTCGATCCGCTCAAAGCTGCACTTGCTCCTTGGATTTGATTTGCTTCGAGTTTCATGAAATTAAAGGTCCTTTGTTGCCATCTAGTGGCGAAGCTGCAAATTACAACCGAATCAAACGGATGAAGCAGCAACATTATCATGCTACAAATAATGCATTCTAAAGTAGCACAGCCACGGTTGAAGAGAAGAGCCAGTGGGTTCACTTCCTGTAAGTGACCTGAGTTTAGACCCGCGAACGCATCTCTTCCTGCTGAACATCTAAACTGTTCAACGCTAGAGCAAAGAAACATTTAAGGGTTATGAATCTATAGTTTTGACAGTTTTGTTCCCTTAAAAAATCAAAGAATGTAAAATATTCCCTCCTGTGTTTTTGGATACCAACAGGCCTTGAACTCTTTGCTCTTTAGTTGTCATTAGTGCGGTATCGGCCGTGTAGCACTGTGTTTGTGATTTGTTCGGCTGTGGTGAGGTCGAAGCTTGAACGTTTTAGCAAAGGAGGAGAAGACTAAAATATCTGAGTGACATTACTCTTATACTCTATTTTTATTGAATTTTTATATTAAAGTTGAGCTTTTGGGTATTAAAAAGCACATTTTAACAAAATATAGCTATATTAAACTGTTTTGGCAATAAGATCATCAGCCAGCAGGAGATTTTTGCATTGAAATTATCTGGAAAATTGAAGATTTATCTTGTGTTTGGAAGCGTTTTTGCAGATAGTGGTGGCTGTTTGGAAATGAATCGTTTCTTTTGTCTCTAACCCTGTGGACTCTGTTTTAATAACCAAGCCTTATTCTGCTACTCTTTATCCTTTATTATTATTATTATGAATATGTATTTCTGTTCTTTGCAATTATAAGTTTTTGGTTTGTTTAAAGCAGATTTGCTGTATTTATAACTTGTGGCATTCTTGAACTAATGAAATGCGATTAAAGATGTTTATATTTATTACTAATTCGAGTTCTTTTTATTTTACTGTGTGAATAAATGTGTTTCTGAAAACCATTCCCTGAATTTTAAAGTGAAGCCGTGAAAGTGATGTTGCGCATTTTGGATTTTTCCGTTATTAAAGTAAATTCCTTGAAAATGTATATCGCCAGCGTTTGAGCCTAAAATCATCTTATATTAAATGGCTTGAAGCTATTTTGGTTTAACCTTGAAAAATAACCTTATGTGCGATTTCATGCGGTACCACAACATCAGGACATAAAAGCTGTGAACACCACATCAACTTGTAGCTCAATATCTGTAAAATTGACAATAACTTTAAGCTCACTTGGCAGCCATCTTAATCAGTTCTACATCCAATGATTACTTTCTGAAAGTCACATTTAACAATGTCAAGTTGTTCATGAGATATTTGAATAAAAGACAAGATGATCGCCCCGCCTCCGCCCCCTGCTGCCGGCGGACGATAAATATCGAGCGGAGAATTGTTCTTGGCGCATGCGCAGTCGAGCCGGTCGGACCTGCTCAGCCGCGCATGCGCCTCGCAGCAAATCACGGGCGTCAAAGCTCCCAGCGACGGCTGCAGATTTTACGGGTCGGAGAGATTCACGCGGTCCAACATGAACGGAAGAAAGGGATGGAGACGCAGGAAGGAGAAACCTGACTTTTTAAAATTTAAATTCGGGTTTTAATAAACCTTTTTAGCGGATACAACCTGTCACTCGGAGCTGTACTTCTGTGACGACCTGGTGAATGTCGGGATGGAGTAAAAAAAAAAAAACCGTCGCAGGATGCGCATCCACAGCCCGACAAGGAAGAGGGCAGACATTTCTCCTCTTGGATTGATCGCTTCCTCCTCCATCCTGCCGCCGGTGTAGAATGGAGAGCTCCAATGGTTCCGAGTCCAAACCGCAGCTGGAGAAGAAGCGGCTGAACCGAGCGCCTTCCCCGGCCAGACCTTTCCTCAAGGATGCGCACTCCCGCTCCAACAAACCACCTGCCATCGGACCCAAGTCCCCCAAACTCGGCAAGCGGCCGCAGCCCGCACCCTCAGCGCACCCGAACCGCTCCAGGCGCAGCGCATCCGGGGCCAAAGAGAAACCAGTCCCGGTGAAAGGTGCCCCCAAGTCCGCCGTCCCCAAGAAGCCCACTAAGGCGCCCCAGCATGGCATCAAACCGGACAGCACCAGCAGCCCGGTTCTTACCAAAACCAAGAAGGGCAAACCCGCGTCCTCGGGCCCTGTCAGCCAGGAGTCCCCGATCCGGGTTCCGACCGGAGCGCGTCTGGGTCAGACTGACAGCAGCTCGGACCTGTCGGACTGCCCGTCCGAGCCGCTGTCCGACGAGCACAAGCCTGCTCCAGTCGCCAGCAGCGACGCAGAGTCCGGTACCGGCTCCAGCGACCGGGGCCAGTCTCAGCCCGGTCCGGGACAGAAACCCAAACCCTCCAAAGAGTCCGGGACCAAGGCTGTGACCGAGGAGGATCTGCTGAGGGAGATCGAAGATCTGAAGTCTGAGAACGACTACCTCAAGGTTCGGATCAGCTGCTCTTTATGTCAGAGACCTGAAGGCAGGGGCGTCAGAAGCATTTGTAATGGGGAGGGGGGACACTGGTGGGGGGGTCTGGGTGTCCTCAGCCAGAAAACTTTGAGTAAAGTAGATGCTGCATTTGAGTAGTGGAATGAATTAATTCACGAAGCAAAAGAAACGGAGCTGGGTTTCATGTTAAATGTGTGTGTAGTTAACCCCACGCCCGAGTAAAGGTCAGAAGAACCGAACAGAAAACAAGAGTTCATCCCAAACTTTAGTTTGAACGACTTCACTGTGTTGGAGGCAGCCCTGAAATGCAGGTCCACACTCAACGTAAACAGTGCTGGTTCCACAGAAAAGCCTGAGTCACATCGTAGAAACTAATATGCGTGCTCAAAGTTGGTATTTTGCAATGCATTGTGGTCTAGATATATTCATTCTAACCGCCGGTTCTTATTTGTCGTTTGCGTATATATTTGTTACTTTCGTTAGCTACGGCCTCCGTATTCGACAAACGATTATTGGAAATGGTTCACTTTGATCCGGTGGGGGGTTTCAAACGCAAACATCAGGAAATAACTTTTTGTTGCGTTTGCTTTGGCCTGCGTTGGCCACCACAGAAGAACGGTATTTAAAAATACCAATAGGATTGGTGGATACTTCATTTACTATTTATTAACCTTTATTTAACCAGGCAAATCCCATTGAGATCACAGATCTCTTTTTGCAAGGGAGGCCTGGGCCTGAAGGCAGCCCAACATGCATGTTTTTATTCTGGGGGAGGAAACTGGAGAAAACCCACGCAAGCACACAAGGAGAACGTGCAAACTCCACAGAAAGACCCAGGTCCAACCGGGGATTGAACCCAGGACCTTCCTGCTGTGAGGCAACAGAGCTACCACTGATGCGTCGTGCTGTAAAAGTGAACAAAAAGCAGGTGTAAAGGACCGAAAGGCCTTTGTTGGACCTTGAGTATCAGAGCCAGAGTTTACTCAAGCGCATTGGTTTCTGTAAAAAGGTAAACAAACATTTTCTTTTAACCTGCGTACGTATAAATCTGAACGTAAGCACGTACCTTCTTGATCCTTAACGACTCGTCCGTTGTTGATCTTTTTTCAGTCGCTTCGGGAACTCCGTTCCAAAAGGGAGCCGAAATGAAAAGCTCGGACCAGTTTCAGTCGTTACGTCGAGTCAAGTCAGACGCACGGCATCTTTTCTTGCTCGCAGGTTCCTCGACAAGAGTTTGATGGGCCTCGTTTGACGCTCTCCGTTGCTCTTTACACGTCAAAATTAAGGACCAGATATGGCCTGCGGGCCTTGAGTTTAACACGTGCCACAGACAAAAAAAAAAAACAACAACCAGGTAGTCTGCGTCCCATCACAAATTTACCTCCAAACTTTTGATTACCGGACCCATTAATCATCAACCCACACAAAAATGGCTTCAAGTCCATCATTTTTACAGATAGTGAGCTAAAATTGTGGGCGGTAGTAGCTGAGAGTCATCCCAACATGTAATCAGAGGGCGAACAGATCTTGCAAGGTGTTAGTTAAAGTGGTGCTTTAAGGAATGCTAGTTTTAGTTCTGAACATGTGTTTAGGCCACTAGGACAGCCCCGTTATTATCAGCTGACCGTCTGAAAAGTTGTTTTTTGTTTGTTTGTCCACACAAAACCTCAAACCTGTTTCAATACTTCTTTCTTCCCTGGACTAGAAGAAGCCTGACTCTGTAATGAAGGAGCGGCTCTTAACTGAGTATTTGCATAAAAACATCCCTCCCCTCTCTAAAAGTAGGTTATCCCCCCCCCCCCCCCATAAGTCGAGGAGGGGTGAAGCTGCAGACGAGGTACGTTTGCGCGTCGCCAATGATGAGAGGAGTGTTTCAGATTTATTAATCAGCTTGGCTCTGGTCGCAGCGTTTTTATCCCCCAGGAGTTCATGTCCCAGGTGTGTGGGGTTCAGAGACCTGGCTCTCAGTCTACCAGCTGGGTCTGCCCCCCCCCCCCTCAACTCCCCCGTGCCCTTAAATAACCGGGACTCCCTGCTGCTACTGCCTTTCAGATGCTCTTGTCCCTAATTGGCCCATAATCTTGGATGGATACTTAATTTTCTATGCTGGACGGGATGGTGTGCAAATACAGTGCAGTTATTTAAAGGAGGGGTCAGTAACAGAAAATTAGTTTCTTTGGATTTTTCTCTAAGCTCAAATATTGAAGCTTAAATCTCAAAACATTTTTCATATTTTTCATTAGGACTTCACAACACTTTAGTTAAATACAACATTAAAAACAAATATATTTATGCAATGAAAATGTTGAATTACCAAAATCTGGGGCCACTTTTTTTTTTTTTTTTTTTTTTACCAAATAGAATTATTATTGTTAAAATAGTCAAGTAAATTAATTCATTCAATCTTTATACAGGTTAGTCTCACTGAGTAATGAGGACTCATTTACAACAGAGACCTGTTTTAGACAGACAACATCTTCATTCATTCATTCAACATTTATTTATACAGATAAATCACATGGAGCCTCGAAGAATAATTTACAATTTAGACCTCTTTAGACAGACAAAAAGTAATAAAAGTGACACATGTATTGGATTTGGAGGCAAAAAAAAATAATTCCTAACAGACTCTCACTCCTTGGCTGAGAAGAGATAGCCTGAAATTGAAAAAACACCCCGCACATAAGCACCTAGTGATGCAGACATTCCACAGGGGAGGGGAGACAACAAGAGTATATAAAGTACAGACAATAAGCTTCAGTAAAATGCAATTAAAATAAAAGTAGTGTTATAAAACGGTAAATAAAGGTGCCATTTAAAACAAACTAAAATACTAAAAACAAGAACATATTTTCTTTGATGTTTCCAGTGACCTTATCAAATGTTTAAACCCCCCTAAAGAAATAAAGGTGGACAGCTTAAGTTCGTGTTGCAAGGTGTTCCATGTTACAGGAGCAGAGTAGGAAAAAGCCTTTTTGCCAAGTTCAGTACGCACTGAGGGAACGCTGCAGGTAATGATGGCCTGAGAGCGCACGCTGTAACTGCACTGACGATGTGACAAGTGGGAGGAGATATAAGAAGGTAGCAGACCAAGGAGGGATTTATAGATGAAAATGAACCGGTGTGAGAGCCTACGTGTAGATAATGATGACCAATTGACCAGTGAGTACAGAGTGCAGTGATGGGTACGGTAGTTACAACCAGTTATGAATCTTAGTGCACCGTGATATACGGCGCCCAACATCTGCAAGGATCTGGCAGGGGTATTCATGTAAATAACGTCACCATAATCGTTGGCTGGTAGGAAAGTAGCAGCTACAAGGCATTTCCTAGCATTCAGAGTTAAGCAAGACCTATTTCTGCAAAAGAAACCCAGTTTTAATTTCAGTTTCTTTATCAAGTTTTTGATATGTGGTTTAAAAGAGAGATGTGCATCAACAAAATTCCCAAGTTTTTGTAAGAATCAACAAACTGAATAGGATCACCATGCATGGATGAGATAGGAAGAGGAGTCGCTGGCACCAACTTTCTGTTTGAAAACAACATCCCCTTTGGTTTTGTTTGCATTTAGCACCAGTTTGAGACTGTAGAAGCTGGAAAACATTGGCAGTTGTGTTAGCATGACAATAAACAATTGTATCATCAGCGTAGAAATGCAAGGATGCATCAGGAATGTTTTGACCTGCATGGCTTATATAAATTGTAAAAAGAGTGTGTCCTAAAACTGAGCCTTGTGGTACACCATTAGTGATTGTTAAGTATCTAGATGAAGTACCGTTATGGCGAACACATTGCGTCCGACCTGAGAGATAGTCTGAAACCCAACCAACAGTTCTTGTTGTTGGTTCTTGTTGACACAAATAATTGTGTCACTGTATCTCTAATTAAAACAGAAAGTCTGTTGATTAAATAACTTTTGAGAAACGAAGCACCAAAAAATGATCTGAAACCAGTTTCTCAAGAAGAAGAATTTCCCACTTCTGTTATATTTTTATGTTTAAAGGTGCATCCTGTTGGGTGTAGTGACATCTAGTGGTTTGGGTTGTGAATTACACCCAGTTGAATCCCACTTGTTTCTGCCAAACATGACCTGTGAGAAGCTTCACTTGGTTCAAACTGAATGAATAAATCATCTGATCGATGTCAACCCAACTCCAGAGGTTCTCTTTAGATCTGCATCGATCGGGTCGACCGTGAGCTCGGCCATTATCTCCGCCCTCCAGAGCCCGGCTCGGATAACGCCGAGCTCAGTGCTTTCCCCGGTCAGGAAAGATTTAGTTTTCTTTAATCGACACACTCCCCCTCCTTTATGCATCGAGTTGTCTTTTCATCAAATGACAGTCGAGTCTTTGGGATGTTTGCCTCAGGAGAGTTTTTAGGATTGTGACGCAAACAAAAACTTGTCGCATCTTCCTTGTCTTCCTTTCACATTTCTTTACAGAGCATTTCCAGTAGCGAAATGATTTGTAACGTTCTGCCTACAGAGATGCCGACTCATATCTGCGAGTTAAATAATACGTGTTTGGCGTGACAGCATTTAAGGAAAGAATGTCAATAAATTTGACTTTTCAAACACTGAAAGTCCAACTTTCTTCGTTCTTTTTTGGAAAATGGCATCAATTTCTTTTACAAACATAAATCTTTGCTTCTAATGGGACTTCTTCACTTCGTAAGGAGTGTGTTAATGAAACAGGATTTGCACAAATTTAAGACATTTATTTTTTCATTCTTTTTTTTGTGTGAAAGTAGCAACCGCTTAAAATTGCATCTTCAATTTTGTAAAAATCTAACCTGTGGGGGGAAATGGCTACATTTTGATGTTTAAACTGTGAAAGAAGCGTAAAGAAAACCAAGATTAAAAGAAACTTTCCATTTATGGTCGCCGTGGTAACACCCCACACCTGTGTCCGTCAGTCACCGACAGCAGACTCGTTAGAGGCAGGCAGAAACAGACTGAAAATTAAGTGTCAAACAAACGGTCGCTGTGCAAAAAACTAAAAGTCAGGTCGTCAAGTTCTTGAACCGTGAGCGTTGGAAGGCTCTGATGGTCACATCTGAGTTTTATGTTTCTACTGTTTCATGTTGGACATATGACAAGTCGAAAAGACTAAACCTTCAGCTTTGAAAATAAAGGTCAGAACTGAAATATAGTCAGGGCCTGGGTGTGAACTCTGCAATTTGTGTGTGGGGGGGGGGAGGGGGGGGAGAAAAAGAACACAATTCCTACAGTAGTGAGAGACACTGGGTGAAAGAGGACACAAGTCCCCACGTTTTGATTCACGATTTGTATAAAGTAGTCCCTAGATTATCGCGGGGGTTACGTCACACACACACACACCTGCGATAGGTGAAAAACTGCGAAGCAGGAACGCTTTATTTATTTATAAAGACTTTATAAACCCTTCCCACACTCTTGCAATGTTCTAAACTCTTAAACCTACATAATTTTAACAACATACATATATGTACTGTACAGTACTGCAAAATTGTACTCACCAGCTCTGCAGACCAGCAGCTCAGTTCCAGTCGGGCTCAGTTCTGGTTCAGCAGACCTACCCTGCAGCGACGAAGCCCACCGCCCCCTCCAGGTTGATGTGCACGTGAATAATTGAGCTTCAGGATTATTTGTGACTTTCCTGATAGTTCTGTGAGCTTAATAGATCGATCGTTACTTCTGACTTTGCGTTGCAAAACTTCCCCTCCATTTCGACAGAAATTAGCGGTCGGAAGCACTGTTGGCTTCTGGGTAGTGTAGTTCTTTTGACTGGCGTTACAGTACAGGCTTATTGAAAGAAAACTACAAAATGACTGCGCCTGTCCAAAGTTTTTCTTCTACATTAACTTTTTATCTCGTACCGTCACAGTCACGTGAGTAATATTAAAGTTGACAATTGTTGAAAAACCACAAAAGAGCGAGTCTGCTGAAGTTGAACCGCGAAGTAGCGAGGGGCTACTGTACGTAGCGTAAAAAATTGTGGGAGTAAGAAGAGTTTGTTTGCAAAAGATGTGAAAATTTTAGACAGACGTTGATGGTCAGCTGAGATTTTTTGTATAAATATCTCCCAAAATCATAAAACTTAAACTGCGATTGTGTAAAAAACAGTAAATAATTTCAAAATGTCAGTACAACTTTCCACGGCCCGTTTAGACCTCACAGGATCTTGTGAAACTGGAGCAAATCTTCAGACGTTGTTGAACGTTTTCTCCTCGCGTCTCTCAGGATGAAGTGGACGAGCTGCGGGCCGAGATGGAGGAGGTGCGAGACAGCTACCTGGACGAGGAGGTCTACCAGCTGCAAGAGCTGCGGAGGGAACTGGACCGGGCCAACAAGAACTGCCGCATCTTGCAGTACCGCCTGAGAAAGTCCGAGCAGAAGAGCCTGCGGGTCGCTCAGACGGGCCACGTGGACGGGGAGCTGCTGCGCAGCCTGGAGCAGGATCTGAAGGTACGTTTGTTCTCTCATTCGTTTCCATCTTTGAAGTTCTTCAGTAGTTTTACAAAAATAATGAAATATTTACCGGAGAACGATCAGAGATGCACTGATTGCAGTGTTTCTAGGCCGGTTCCATCATCCCATGTCTGATTCTTATGGTTGTAATTTCTCTTTAAGAACTTTTATTGACAGCAGACACATTTTCTTTCATAATTATAATTTTCACTGCGGTCGACGAGACGCTGCAGTTAATTGTTTCTGTGTTTTCAACCAGTTTGTTGGTAACCCTTTTTTCCCCCACGCATGGAAACGTAAACCTAAGTGTTTTTACTTCGTACTGAGGAATCTAAACGTAACTTGTTTAAGTGAAAACCGTTGCTGTAAAAGACATCTTTAGTCCATATTGTAAACTTCATCTTTCCAGTCTCTTTCTTTTTTTTTAATAAGTCAACATTTATCATTCAGGTGTTTTTTAAATAGCAGCAGCATGAAGGTTTTTGGGTACGGCAGGTAAAGCATGACAAATAATAAAATCATAATTCTTTAGAAACCAAAGCACGACCGTGTCGGTGATCGGGCGTATTCGTGCACAGAACCCTGAGCTGGCGGTGTGGATTGTTTATTCCTGTTTTCTCCCTTTCGGACCGAACCGCCCGCAGGTTGCGAAGGACGTGTCGGTGCGTTTGCACAACGAGCTGGAGAGCACCGAGGACAAACGCAGCCGAGCGGAGGACGAGAACGAGACGCTCCGGCAGAAGATCATCGAGGTGGAGATTTCCAAGCAGGCGCTGCACAACGAGCTGGAGAGGCTCAAAGAGGTGAGGGCGGGAAGAAATCGTGTCCAGGCTGAAGGAAATCCCGGTGGACAGACGCAGGAGCAGAGTTTTGTTTTGGTGCAAATCTGGTTCGTTTTTTGGCGTCTGTGTTTTATTGTGTGAATGTTTATGAAGCATTCTCACTACTGTGATCCGTTTTTCTTCTGTACATTTTTCAGCATCTTTTCTCGTCCTGCAGTTTTCAGCTATTTCAACAAATCATAAATCAAAACGTTCAGCTCTTTCAGAACAATCCTGCTATGACTTTTGGTATTGGTGCAGCTTTAGCTTTTTGAAATATTTAGCCTTTTCTGCCATTTTTTTTTCTCATAGAAAATGAACTGATCTCATTTTACATCCTTCAGATTTTTACATCTGTTTACAACCTTTTACTGCTCCTTTCACATTTTGTTCTGCTTCAGCTTCTTTCAGCTTCCTTGTGCAAATGTAAGCTTTTTTCAGCTAATTTCAGCTGTTTTGTGCTCCTTTCAGATTCTTTTTGCTAACTAAAACATGCTTGTGCTTCTTTTAACTTCTTTCTGCTAATTTCAGCTTGTTATGCTCTTTTCAGCGTATTTATGCAAGCTTCAGCTTTTTCTGCTATTTCAGCTACTATTTAGCTTTTTTTTCTAATTTAATCTTTTTCGACTAATTCCATATGTTTTGCACTCATTTCAACTTTTTTCAGCCTACTTTACTTTCTCCACTTCCTTCTGGTAATTTCTGCTTCTTTCTGCTTTTTAGCTGCTTTTCAGCATTTTTTTTTTTACTAATTTCAGCTTTTTAAAGATAATATCCACTTCTTTAAACTTGTTTCTCCTAGTTTCAGCTTTTTCTGCACTTTCAGCTACTATTAGCTCTTTTGTTGCTAATTGAAGTTTTTTCAACTAATTCCACATTTTTAGCTCATTTCAGTTTTTTCCACTTCCTTCTGGTAATTTAAGCCTCTTTTTGCCTTTTCAGTTACTGCTCAGCTATCTATTTTTTGCTAATTTCATCTGTTTTTTAAGCTATTTTTTGTGCTCATTTCTGCTTCTTTAAGCCTAATTCAGCAAATATGTTTTCTTTCTGCTTTCTTCTGCAAATTTAGGCTTGTTCTTCAATTTCAGCTACAATTCAGAATGTTGTTGTTGTTGTTTTTTTATAGCTAATTGCAGATATTTTTCAGCAATTCACACTGCATTTTTGCAGGAAATGCAGTTTCCTTCAGCTGTGGATTAGCTGACTTTCATTTCAACCTGAAGCTCCCTCCTCCCTCCTCGTCTCACACCAGAAGAACTTCTTTCAGCTAATCCTACTACGACTCCAGAGTTGAACTTTAAGTTTTCAAACTCTGCGTCCGACTTAGTTAATCCTTCTCACCTGAGTCCAGACTAGGCGTGCCACATGGTGTCATTTTCAGAACTGCTCGGGTGATTTCTCTATTTTAGGTTCGGTTTATTGAAGAAACGTCCGGTGAGAATATTCTTGAGCAGCAGCACGGACAGAGAACTGTAAATTAGTGAAACTAGTTTTGTTTGTGGCTTTTCCTTTTCTTTTATACACAATAAATGAATGGGTTGTGAGATTTTAGCTTTTGTTAAAATGAGCTTAAAGGGTGATGTTTGGGCAGATAGAAGCTACATGTGAGGGTTAGATCCTTTCTTTTGAAAATGTTGAATTTATTTTTTTAATATTTCTTTCTGTCTCTTCTTTGTTCTCCAAAACAACAGTAAGGTGCTCGTTCTCTCACCTCGTGCCGAATTTTATTAATTATCGTTCCTCGTGAGTCACCTGATCCCTTAAATCTGAACCAGTCAGAAGTGGTGTGGAGCAAGTCACGACTTCCTGTTTTCCACTGATGTACTGTGGGTAATGTAGTTAAAATTCATCAGTCATTGCCTACAGTTGGTAAGCAAGTTTATTAGTGAATTTACACTGAGAATGAAAATAGAGTTCTGGCCTCAAAGTGTTTGTACGGTGTTGATACTCACACAATGACTGCCGGAGATCAGCAAAAGCTTCCTGAGATCAATAATAAGAAATAAAATGTGACCTGTGTTGGCAAAATGAGTTTCAATGAGGGATTTTTCAATATTACGTTATAATTTTTTAATTTTCCATCTCAAAAGCTTCTAAATGATGCATAGTTTGTTGTTGTTGTTGTTGATTTATCACCTGGAACTATAAGCTAGTTTTGTTTAATAAAGCCCCGGTTTGATTTTTTTTTGTTTGTTTTTATTGATCTGGAGTGATGTCATTGGGAATTCCAGCCCTTTATGTAAATAAAAGGGAATCTCCAAGCTTTACAATGATGCCAAACATTATACAAGGATTATTGAGCATGCATCAGGATATTATACAAAGGGATTTCCATGTACATCTGCAGAGGAAAAATAGCAAATTTAAAATTAAAAGCATTGTTTCTAAAGACATACCGGTACTTGTTAGGAATCTGTAATTTTAAGGTAGATTAGGAAGATTATTTGATGTTTTAATTACTGGGACTGCTGGATGGATGGATGATGGATGGATGGATCATGGATGATGGATGGACTATAGTTGAGTGATGGATGGATGATGGATGAATGATGGATTGATGAACTATGGATGGATGGATGATAGAAGATGGATGGATGATAGAAAGATGGATGGATTAATGAATGATTAGTGGACAATAGATAATTGATGGGTGATGGATGGAAGGATGTATGATGGATGGATGATGGATGGATTGATAAAGTGTCTGTTTTGACTTATGTCTTAAAAACCTAAAAGTAGTTACTCTAATGTCAGAATTCTTTGTTCTGTAGGCGATCTGATTTAAAATGCATTTCTTTTACATTAATTTACTTTTCCTAAAATTGTACATAAACATAAAGGAAGAAGCGGCTAAAGATAATGGATGGATGGAAGGAAGGATGGCTGGATTGATGGATGGATGGATGGATGGAAGGAAAGAAGGAAGGAAGGAAGAAAGAGAGAGAGTTGACAGTTCATTTCAAATTGGGTTGCCAGGTCAAAATTCAAGATGGCTGCCACCTGATATGTATATTAGTCAAACGTGTGAGGTGGAAAACTTGAGAAATAATAAGCAGCGTGATGACTTCCATTTCACCGAGTGCCTGCAAAGGTTCCCATCAAAAATGTTGTTGCCATGTCCAAATCCAAGATGGCCACCATTACCATAGATATGTTAATTGGCCACGCCCATCTTTTGCGCTGCGTAGTTTTTATTCTGCTCAAAAGTTGAGTTTCCTCAAATGTTTGGTGTAGCCCAAGATTAATCTGTGGTGCTGCACCGCTCGTCTTTTTATTCAGTTTGTACTGACAGAAGGTGTTTTTTTTATTTTTTATAATTATTTAAATTATAATTATTTTTACTGCACAGACATTAAGGACCATCATCCAAACCTAAATTACCTTCCAAAGTAAAGTAACTTTAAAGCATCACCTAAGTTAAAAACAAACTCAGTTTTTAGCTCCAGATGTCTCAGGGTCGAGTGGCCATCTTCTGCCTTCTTTAACTGGGACTCCATCTTGGTTTTCAGCTGTGTTTCATTTCCTCTGAGCCGCTCGGCCTCCATGGATTAGACTAATCGATGGAGACGGCAGCAGGTAGCTCACCGTCTGCCAGCAGACAGGAAGTAGGCCAGTCTGGGTCCACGCTGCTTCCTTTTGGCACCTGATGACATTTTCATCAGAGGTTCTGTTGGGTTGGTTCCCAGCAGCACTTATAGCTTCTGTTTTCTTTGTTTCAGAAGTTCTTCGGCTGTCGGGAACTGTTCTTTGCTGAATGAAAGACATCACCTGAAGTTATCGCCACGCTGGTTAAACCTTGTAAATTATGTTTTGCTAAGTAAACCTCGTGGCACATGTTGGTGCTGGATTATTAATTCTGGACAACTGTCAGCTACTACCACAGCAAAACCTAGGTCCATATCTGTGAGATGTTTTGCTAACAGATCTGCATAGTTGATTTCAGTAATAAGTTTTAAAAACAAATCTCCTGCGATCAATTAGTACTTGATGGGAATCACCCTCAGCTACTACCACATCAAGTTTTAGCTTATTGTCTGTTAAACTATCTGAGTTATAACCATTTTTGTGTTTTGTAATGTTAGTTGGCTTTGGAAGCCATCTTGAATTGGATCAGTTGTAGGGATCCATCCATTGACTCCTTCCTGAGAGTTTCACTAAAACCCATCCAGCAGTTCTTGAGATATTTTGCTAACAGACAAGCCCAGCCAGATAAAGGCCTCGTGGAGTCGTGTGCCTGCGACGGAGCGGCTCGCTTCACGAACGTTTGGCGGTGAAACGGTGCAGGAGACGACGCTCGCTGCAGAGAGGAGGCGCAGAAGAGCTGCTCCGAACGACTGCAGCTTTTTTGATGTCTTCCCCCGAGGTTCGTCCCAGAAAAACACGCCGTCTCCGGGTGTTTTATTTATTTATTTTATGCATATGCCGTTTTATTAACTGCTCCTCAGAACGGTTTGTCTGAGCTGCAGAAGTCACGGACTGAAGAGGGGGATCAGCTGTTAGGAATGTTGTTGGACCGGACCGAAGGGGCGCACCTTCACCTTTCTGCAACATTCTCGCGCTGTGAATCACCGCTGAGGTGCGATGCACAGAATCTTCCACGCCACGTTTTAATCACGCAGTAAAGTTTTGATCGCCCGCTGCCCAAAGGCGAAGGCAGAAAATGACGTTTTCACCTGTTGGTGCATCTGTTTGTTAAAAAAATATCTCACGAACCACTGGATGAATTTTATTGAAGCTTTCAGCAAACAATCATTAGATGTGCTTCTATAACTTTGGAGTCGAACCACTTCAAGATGGCCGCCACAGCCAACTGACTTTTAAAAATAACAACAATGGCTATAATTCTGTCATTTTTATAAACATTGGGCTAAAATTCAGTGTGGTAGTAGCTGGGAGTCCGTCTCGACTCAGCTCTAAATGCTACTCACTGTGCAAGAGCTTTGACTAAAATTATTGCAATAACAGTTGGAGTCAACCCTGTT